CTCCGTATAAAGCGTTAATATTGCGAGCTACATGGCAAAGTTCCAAATGAAGATGCCTACAGAAAATAGAAAAATTTTACATAAATAAATATTTTTATATACTTTTAACCATTTATATAAGACAGTAAACAAAAATGTGCTTTTATAGGCATCTTTGCCTTTTATTTGTCAGTAACTGAGAGACTTGTGTTAGTAACTATCTAATTATCGATTAGCATTTTTTACATTATGTAAATTACAAAATTAGTACTCAATTATACAATCAATACAAAAGTATTACAAAAGTAGTTTATGTTGTTAGATAACTAATTATTGATCAGCATTTTTTACATTATGTAAATTACTTAAGATATTAAATATAAAATCAATACAAAAGTATTATATAAATGTATGCAAAATTTTGTACAAGTAAAAATAGAAATTTTATTATTTTGTACAAGCGAGAATATGAATAAGTAAGCAGTAAAGACACATTTATTTTTATATGTGGTAAAATTGTTATTTACAAATATTGTTTTTATTTTTTCTATATCAGGTACTGTACTATGTACTAATAATTTACATTGCAATCCACAGCATACGCTTGCGGTTCTCTGTGCGCCGAATATAGTAACGATTGACAATAAGAGATTTTTTCCACATACATCTCAGGTCATAGTTCTCAATCTCTGACAATTCTACTATATGGTCGTTTATTTTATGTAACTTAAAACCGATACACCTGTAATATTAAAACAAAAGTTTAAAAACAAATTTTATACACTTATATGACAAAGAAATAAACAAATAATAATTTTAGTGAATATTTTTGGAAGCCAATGTGTTTATCGTACAAAAACACTACGTTTCATACTAACGTGCAATATCGCAATATGTTATAATATGTTTATTTTTTTGTTATTATAATATAGTTTCTAATTAATAATACTTATTTTCTGTAATGCAAAATTGTTTTCCTATTTTAGATTTTAAATATCGTGTTCTGATTTTACACACACACATACAAACATTAACCTTAAAATAGACACAATCATCAAGTCCAGCATTGTAGTGACATGTACAGGGTACTGCATAACCAACAAATTTATTAAATCTTGAAGATTTACTATAAAGTTCAGATATAAACCTATTAAAAAATCAAAACTAGCAATTATACATAATAGCATAAACCATAAAATCAATGACCACTTTATCTCTTTTCGCATTCTAACGATTTCCTTAGATATTCCAATCTTTTCTAATGTATCATTTACAAGATCCAATTTTTTTATACACATCCATTGTTCCTGAAAAATTAAATAACCATTAA